AAATTAGCAAAAAGAAAAAAAAATTATTTCAATAATCTTATAAATCTATAAACTATTCTGTATTATTTATCAGTTTTTCAGGATTGATAATCAACCGGCATATCTCAAATTACTGATAGCATTTAAACCAGATATATCTCCGCCACAAATTGTTGACATCAAATATTCAAGTACTGATGAGCCTAGCAAAGTAAAATTTATGCATATTATTAATTCAAGATTGGATAGAAAAAATAAACAATCAAATTATTTTATTTTTTGTGATAAATCTATTAATTAAATGATAAGTTTTAATTTATGAAATAATTTTAGATACAAAAGAAATCATTAGAATGGGAAAAAAATGCTAGAAATCATTTTATGGATCGTCGCTATATTAGCATTGTGCAATGTGCTACTGGTAAACGAATATTAGCATGCAGGTAACAACTTGCACCCATTATTTAGCTGCATGCAGGTAACAACTTGCACCCATTATTTAGCTGCATGCAGGCAACAACTTGCACCCATTATTTAATTATATACAGATAAATCTTACATGCATTTCTTATTTCAGTATATCTTAAAATTAACTTAAAAAAAATCTTTTTCTCCGTGCTAAAAAAATCGTTGAAGGAGAGGGAGAGAGAGAGAGAGAATGGGATAGAAGGTATCTCGAAATACGTTACTTTTCAAAATAAGAATATGTGGAATTGATTTTAATATTTACAAATATTGTTAAATTAAATGGAATTTTAAAAATGAAAGAATTAATAGTTTTTCTATTTTAACTGTTTATTTTATTTATTGCTTAAGAAATATGCTTTATTACTAATAATATATCAATGATTTAATTAACAAATAATTTAAAATGCTTCATGATATCATTTTTCAACTTTTATTACTAATAAACTTTAAATTACTAGTAAAATAAATCTTTCAGCATAAAATATATGCTGAAAAATGAAAAAATTAATTAAATTAAAATATTAATACATTTTTAGTGCAAATTATGTAAATTTAAATAATCAAATATGTTTATTTTTTCAGATTCATTCGACCAATTAAGCCACCAATTAGCTTATCATCTTTATCATCATCGCAAGCTTTAGCTCATTTTGCATGTCAAATGGTTTCTAATATACCATTCACTTCCAATTCGATTATTTCTTCAGAATTTTGTGATATTTGGATTACTGCTGATCGGGTAAGTTTTTATTTAAAAACAATGAAATTTTTGAGGTCATTAATTAATTAACTAATTAATTAATGTATTTCATATAATTACAAATTTAAGTAATATAGTACTAATATTTGTTTGAAAAAATGAAATTTTTGAGGTCATTAATTAGAGCATAATGCAGTTTATAAATACAAATTTAATTAATATAACAAAGACATTTGTTTTAATTGTTCAGTTTCTATCAATTGGTTGTGGCATTATCGATGAACATGCAATATTATTATGTTGTTGGTTGCTACATGCTGGCATAAAATCATATGTTCTATTTGGGAAATCATTACCAGAAGGTGAATAATTCAAAGTTTAATTTCAACCAATTTATTAAATTCAAAACTAACATTCACTTTTTTTTTAAAAAAAAACAATTCACTCGAAAATTTTACATTAAAGAAAGAAAAAGAAAATGAAATTCCTGTTTTTCATTTTTTTAAAATATGTTGTAGAATTCTTAATAATACTGTAATTTTAATTTAGAATAAAAGTGAACTTTTTTTATAGACGTACAAAAAATTTTTTTTAGGAGTAAAGGAATTTTTTTTTTTTCTTTTTGAAAATCTGAAATAAATGTGAAAAGCTAAAATTTTTAAAGTTTCAAATGATCAGATGACAATTACAGGCTCTCGATCAGCTTATGTAATGGCAATGGTTTCGGATGGTACACTAATTTTAAATCCATTCGATGGTAACTGCTATAAATTAAATGACCCATTCTGTCCTATTAGATCAATTGGTACTCTTGCATGCATGGGAAATTTATATGCAAATATTCAAAAAAATGAACATCCAAGTCAAATGCAATTTGATTTAAGCGTATGTTTAGTGAAAAATTATCAAATTAATTATTTAAAAAATTATTTTATTTCGAATTCATGTAAATCTAATTTCAACAATTTAAAAGATACATTCAAACTTCCAGAAAAAAAAATTAAAATTAAAAGCTTTTAAAAAATTAATCATTAAGATATGTTTTTCAAGTATAATTTATAATAAATGAATGAATTACAGAAACGCAATCATTGGTTACCATTATTTACTAGCGATCAAACTGAAATGGAATCGGTACAACCGGAACAGATTGCATATTTTGATACGGAAAATGATGCATTGTTGCAACTTCGAACTAATCTAGAACGTGAAATTCGTTTAAAATTTGATCAAAGTCGTCTATATGGAATTCCACATTGGAACTTACTAGCCTCAAGGTATAAAAAATTAAAAAAGATAATTTAAATATTCATTTAAATTATATTTAATTTATTTCTTCTTTTTTTCCATTTATCCAAATTCGCAATTTTTTTTTATCTAAAACTTTAATTACAAAATTAAAATTTAATGAGTAAGACAAAAAATCGTTTATATACAAAAACAAAAACAAATCAATAATTCATAAACATTAACATTAATACAAAAAGTAAATTTTTGGAATCATTGTTTTGTACGAATTGAAATGTAAAAAGAAAAGGAAAAAATAAATAAATAAAATGCTTAATATAAAAGCAATTAGAAAAAAATTATATAAGTTTTGTTAAAATTTAAAAAAGTTTAAAAATCTGAATTATACTATATAAAATATAGCATTTCGTATTATTTTCAGGATACTACGTAAAATTTTATCAGAGTTAGAAAATACGAATGATATTAATGAGCAAATAAAAGATGATTTATTGCAATTACGTAATTCATATCACGTAAATGCCGTTGCTTTCCGTCATCGGTACAGTACCATCGATGAAATTATTGATAAAGTACTTACACTTAAAATTCATGAAAACACTGATCAAAATGTTCAATTTGCATTTGCCGTTCATTTACAATCATTTGTTAATAATATTTTATCATGTTCTATTGCTATTGCTGCACTAAAACCATTAATAAAATGATTTTTTTTTTTTGATAATTTAATAATTGCAACATTAATCAATTTATTTTATTAAAATTAAATCTAAAAACTTTTTCTAATTTTTTGAATTATTTCTAAAAGATTTCATTTACGTTCTTCTAACAATTCAATTGAAAATAAATGAATAACTTTAATCATTCAATATTATATATCATTCATATATCTAATGATGATTGTGACTTTTTGACTTTTTTTCTCGCAACAAATCAATTAAAATCTCGAAAAATAAAAAAATTGAAACAAAATTTTTTGAACGAAAAAAAAAAACTATCTTTTCTATTCATTGTTATTACTTGTTGTTATTATTATTAGCACTCTTTTGAATATTTAATATGAAATAATTGGGATCATTGAAATGCAAACTAACTTTTCCATTTCTTCTATGCTTGTAAATGTAATTTCGAGTTAAATTTCGAACAAATTTGAAATTTAATTAAAACAGAACTTGTGTAACTGATAAACCACAAATCATTTTTTTGATTCATTGTTATTCGAAAATTATTTCACATCTGTGCAATCTTGATGATTTCAAAAGGAAAAAGTTCAGATTTGAGTAAATTTGAAATTTAATTAAAATATAGGCTTCAGATTATAAAATATATTTCTATAAATTACAAGAAAATATTCAAAAAATACAACAGCTTAGCTATGTTCACTATATTGAGGCAGCTGAAGTGAAATCGTTGCACGTAATTGGTTATGTTCGGAATATTAAATGATGCAAAACGTTACGTGGATTACGTAAAAATTACTACTTGTTTACTATTAATTACTATTATGCTATTTTAAATTTCATATATTATCAAAGACCATCGAAGAGTTCAAAAAAGATGTATTTCTGGCGAAAGATACTAAAAATTGGAGTTTAGTATAGGAAATGTAGAGATTGCAAACAGTAATGGTCACTCACTAGTCATTAAATTCATTTTATCTTTTTTTTAAAAAGTTTTCTCCCCAATCCTTCCTTATCTATCTTTATCACTTTTCGTTCATTATTGTTTTCTTTTCTCAGACGTAAGAAAAATCAAGATAAGAGAGGTGAAATGGGATGTTCCCTCGAGAGATTGATAGGTCACAAGAATTCTCGATGTAATGAGATGAGATAGAATAGAATGTCACTTCATAAAAAGTCTCAATGAGATGAAATGGAATGTTCTCTCAGAGTAGCAAGAAATCTCGATGTAATGAAATAAAGTTATATTAGCAAAACAAATGCAATCTATTCTTCCTAGCTTATCAGAATCAAAACTGATAGAATGATTAATAAATGGCGCAAAACGCCACTTTGCACTGTTTGATTAATGTTTCTACAAGCAGTTATAGCATAATATCCCTTCGCTTCCAATTAAAAACTTTTTATAAAAAAAAAATGTTAAGCAAACAAAGATTGGATCAAACGAAATGAAATTTTCATTGTAAATTATTATGAAACGATTATGCAACAAAAAGATTCCAAATGAAAGTTTTCATTTGTTAGTCGGATTATTGCTATTCATATAACATTAATTATAAGCTGTACAACAATGGTGTACCTTCCTTTCTCCTTTTTTGTTATTTCTTATATCAGTAATCATATCATTCGTTTATCTCGTGATAATTCGTTAGTTTTATCAATCAAAATATGCTTACTCGTTCGTAGATTACATTGATCTCATACTCTTATAAAGAAAAAAGTTTTGCGTTTTATTATCATTAATTGGTTTTTTTTTTTTTTTTTAATTTTAATTTTTTTACAAATCAAGAAACGATAAAACTGATGGTTGATTGATCATCAGTTGTTCAAATTCAGTAGCATAAATTTTGACTCTGTGCAAATCATTTGATGATTATATTCAGTCATTACTTCAGGTTTTTCGAATTTCTTAGTTGTTGCGATTTATGTCAATTCACGCAATATCATGTCGTTTTATTTCCAAAAGATTTGGCGGAATTGTTCCTAGCACTTCAGCTAATATTGTTTTAAGCTTACCCTCATCAGCTATATGGAAAAATTATGATAACAAACGTAATTTCTCTAATAATACTTATTTGGATATAGCAGCCGAGTTGCAGGTTATTGATTCATTTCACTTATTTTTCAACCCAAACTAATCGGTATTTTAGTAATTCAGTTTGCTTTAATCGCTTTTTTTGAAATTAAATTAGTTCATCATCATTGTATGATTAATTAATTCGAAATAAATTAAGGCTCATCCTGTCATTCAGTGGTTCGATCGATCGGTGAAAGCATCGTGTAATTATGCGCAAAGTTTAATTGAGACTTCTGGCTTAAGTAGTACTCCGCTTGAACATTTGGGTCTGTACACGTGGTGGAAGCCTTCGTCGTGGTACCGAGTATTATTGGAATTCCTCCATACCAACTATGAGTTATCCTGGCTTACTACTATAATATGTGGTAAAAGTTCTGCTTTACTATCTCCGTAGTTTATCATTTCTTATCATTTTGGCCAATAAATTGTCTTGACATTCAATTAATTAACATATTTTTTTGCATTCCTTAAATATTTCAGAAGTCCTTAATTCTTTTAATTTCAGTTTCTCTTCTTTCACATTTTTCCAAAAAGCTTAGATCAAATAAATTTAAAATGTGAACTTCTGATTTTCTGATTAATTTATTTTATTCAGCGACTGTGTTAATTCGAATGGCTACGTTCTATATGCCAGCTTTAATTTTGTGGAAAAGAATGAAATCCAAGGAAGTCCATTCTCCGTTTCTGCATCGTAAGCACATTTTGTCCTAAAAACTTTTGACTATTGTATTGTATAAAATATCAAATTTCTAGCGTATTTTCAGAAATTCGCAGTGGAATTGGTTCGGTCATATTGTACTCTTCAAACGTTGGAATCTTCTTTACGCAATACTGTGGTATTAAGAAAATGGCTGAAGTTGTGTACGCTTTTTTCCACTTGGAAGTTTAGTAAAAAGAAAAAAAAATTTTGATTGATTAATTTTAAAACATTGATTTATTTTGAAGCAAATGAAATACTATTCATGCGCTTATAATGATAGTGATATTTGCAGTTATCCGAGCTGGACAGGAAGTGGCATGTTATCATTTACCGATCTGACAGTATCCGATCCGGTTTTTTTATTGCCTACTCTAACTGCTATTTGTTTTACTTTCACAACTAAGGTAGTGATTCACGAATTTGAAAGTTTAGACACTTTTTATTAGTGAGTCAAAAGGAAGTGCAAGGTGTCTTTTTCAAAGCAAGAGACACGTTCACGACGCTTTTCTAGGGTTTTTTTTTTTTTACATTTTCCCCTCAACTTGTCAAACATACATTTATTAATATATTAAAATGATTGATTTTCTCATTCTTTCTTTTTCAAAGTTTATCTTTTATATTAAGTCTATGTTACTTTTATGCCGTATTATTCGTTGGCAGAGAATTCTAATCTGACTTTACTTTTTAGAAATGGATTGAAATATTGCAAATGCAAAAAACAGTAAGCAACTGGATGTTAGGATTAAAGCCATATAATACAATATATCCAATTGCTGCATGTTCATTTTTCGTTGCTAGCAACGTTCCATCGGTAAGTATTAAGCAAAAGAAAGTGAAAATTGAATTTAAATTTAAGCATTTTTAATACGAACACTGTTATGTTGCTATTAATGTCGGTACAAAATACTGATCTTTCTTCGCTTATGGCTTTTTCTATTCCTCACTTTTTACTCCTCACTTTTTTACTATTACTAGTTTCAATTTTTTTATGTTCAGTTATTCTCCAATTGAATTAATACATCTTGCAAAATTATTTTTTAAGGTCGTGTGTATTTATTGGATCACTTCGAGTTTAATTAGTAACATGCATGCAACAGTATTGAGAACTCGTACAATGCATTCTTTGTTACATTTACCTGCTGTTTGTTCAGATCCTGCGGAAACTCGTCGTACTGAGTTATTAAACTACGTTTCTGGTATGTTTGAATTTTTCCGTTTCTGATTTGTCGTTTGCTATTTTTTTATGATTTCTTTTTAAGATTGGTTAATTAATGGTTTAATGCATAAACCTTCTGATTTTCCAGTCATTCGGAACATTTAGGGGTTTCTCTTTAAAAAATATGTAGGCATTATGTGATATATAGTAGTGGAATTCAAATTTCCAGAAATGAGATGGAAAAGAGCAAGCGAAACATTGGAACTTCAGAAGAAAGTTGCTGAAATTGAGAAAAAAAGTCAAGATGATGATTTGTCCAAATTACTTGCAAAAGAAACAGAAAATACCGAAATTCAGAAAGACTCACTTTTTGGAGAACCCTGGAAAGAAAGTGCTGCTTTGTCATCGTCAAAGATTGCTAAATTAATGGAACAATACATACAAGAAGAAGCGCGGGCAAATGTGATGACAAAAGCTGGGAAGACGAATTCTATGATAAGAACTAATTCTCGAAAATTTGAAATTGATGAAATTACGGCAGGCTGAAATTAAACTTTGGATTTTCTTTTGTATAGATCGTAATAAATCCCGAATAAACAAATTTTATAATTGGGATCGATAAATGATATTCCAAACTTTTTATTAGATTGTTTCATTTGATTTCGGATTTTTTTATCCCAGATTAAATCATATTAGTTTAGGCCAGTAATATGCACAGTAGATAATGTGCAGCACTAGTTGAATTCAGAAATTCCTAAACTATTAGAAGCAGTATTGGAATATTTGTTCAAAGTCTTCCAATCTTCAATTAATAACGTAGGGATGGAAGTCTTTGAACACCTATCAAAACTCTCAGGTTCTAATAATCAACGTTATATATGTTTTTTTATTAAACGCTATTGGCATTATAATTTAATCCAGGGTTTATCATGTCAGCTGTTCATAAACTAGCTAACACTGCAAAGCATGTCTTGTTTATTGTTTATCACGTTGTTGATATAATTGGTAAAATTATTTTATTCGACCATCAGCATAATGTAGAATGTATGTAACCTACTAGCTGATGCTTTACTAAACGGATGTGTAATTTAAAACTTGAACTGTTATTAATTAAAATGAAGTAAAATTTAATATGGAAATTTTTTATAGTGTATAGAGATGCTGTTTGACTTAAAAATGGTGCATTTGGTTAATGACATGCATTCTTGTTTTGTTTTGTTTTGTTTTTTAAAAATTGTGCAATGTTTGAGAAATCGTTAAATAATTTTTTATTATTAAAATGAAGTAAAATTCATCAAAAAATTTATTGCACACTCTAAGGAAACACTGTTTGAGTCGAGGTTGTTATTTACTCAATACTGTCCTAATGTTCCATGAGTGGGAATCAGTTATGGGTTCTGCACTAGTAATTGTGTGCTCAGTTTCTCATTAATTGTAGTGAATGTTTTAGTAATAACAAAGTTGGATGGATTTCATTCCCGAATTGGTTCTCGAAAATGTTAGATTACAGAAAAGGCAACATACTTCAAAATTGTTGAGTGGTTATCATATAATTTCAGTATGCTTCCGAGGAATCTGCAGGTGATGCTACGTCTTAGACGGCATCTTCTAACGGAATTAACATCTTTGTCCTCAGTGAAAATGGCATCAAGATTAAATTTTGTGGTTGCTGACCACTGCCAATTAATTTCACAAATTAGACGTATATCTTTCTTTGGAAGTAGTCCACCGTCTTCTACTCCATCTTCAACACCCGAAATATTGGTAAGTCTATAGTTGCCATATGCCATAGTTTTTTCTGAAAGGCAATATCCAGTGTAATAAATTTAGTTCGGTAGAATTCGTCTATTTGCTTCTTTTAAGACTGTTATAAGATTCAGGTCTGATTAAGCTAAATTGCGCTAATTGAAGCTAAATCATCATCTTGTTTATTTCCAATTGAATTTCATCGAACTGAATGCAATTGGGCTAAAGTTGCATAAATTTTAGCTGTGCTCATTTGAAATTAATTTTTTATAGACTACACCAACAGATACACCGTTGGTTTCTACAGATGCAGCAGATTTTACACTAATGGAACAACTGCAACTGGCATTAGTGAAAGATTTTCATTTATTTGATTTTCTTGGTGGAAATTCATTGGTCAAAGAGTATGATCTTTTTTCATGGTGGAGTCCGGCATCTTGGTTTCGTTTAGCATTAGAATATGTGCATTTTAATATTGATTTGCCTTGGTGGTTAACCGTCATATGTGGTAAGTGCGTATAATTAAACATCAAATACAAAAAATTGTTGTTAATAATTGGAATTCTATGATTACTGATCAGTGAAATTAAATCGGTAGAAAGATCCGCATGTTTAATGAATTATTTAATTTGCAGTTGCGAATTCCTTCAGAGTTAGATTTTAGCCACAATAAGTTTGCGGTTACTGATGATATTTGTGCCTATTGCTTCTCATCGACTTATGGCACGAGTACAGTTGTACAAAAAAGAAATTGATGAATTTAAAGAAAAAATGGAAAGTGCTCAAAGAAACGGAAATTTCTTGCAAAGTTTGTCTTTCTTATTTCTAAGTGAATTCTGTGCTTTTTTCAAAAAGTTTTACTAATTTAATCATTTTTTAGTGGAAAAAATTTCTTTTGTCAAGGATAAATCGCTGTTCTAATTGGTTATATAGTGAAATAAGTTCTTTTCAACACTTTCTATACAATTGAGCTTGTCTTCAAAAACTTTTTTCTTCAAAGGTTTGAAGCAACTTCAAATTCTCTTCCTTCTGTTCTTTGTATTTTTATTTATATCAGTGTCTCATAGATAATAGTTGCTCTGCAAGTGTTTCTGTCATTAGTGCGGGAACTTTTTTGCTGGAATTTTTCTGCTTTTGAAATATAAAACACTACAAATGTTAATATGAAATAAAAGCTTTTTGATCATTAGGATTTTTATTTCATCAAAAATTTGTGACTGAGTGCATTTATCATATATTTTATAAGTCAAATAAATCACAGTCTCAAGAAATATGGATTTCAGCAATGGAAACTCAAAAAGAGCTGAAAGATTTCTTGAAAACGAAAAATATTAAGCTATATCGACAGTTTGTATTTATGAGTCTCAATGGCGCTATCTTCATGACACAGTTTATTGCAGTCAAAAAAATGGCCGATGTTGCGTAAGCTTCAATGTTAGATATTGAAATGTGAATTACCCTATTTAGAACAATAAATATTGTTTTCATTTTCTGTCTTCCTTATCTTTTTGTCTCTTTTTTCAGTTTTCCTGGTATGAGCACCGGTGGTTTGTACTGGTTCAAAGATTTAACTGTACCGGATCCCTATTATTTACTACCATTGGTTTCTGCTATCACTGTCGCTGCGGTATTTAAGGTAAAACCAAATGAAATATTTATCAGAACATACAGCGGTGTTTTTAAGGACTATGGAAAAATCTTATATTTTTAGGGAATTTAAATTTGTACGCTAATTATTAGAGAGAAAATTTACTTGGAAGTTTTATAAAAGTGCCACAAATTCAAGTTTTAGTTCTAAAAAGCTAAGAATGAAATTCAAATTTGAAAAAAGACGTTGTATGAATGGGAAATATGAATTCCAGAACAACTTTTGCTTTTTCCACTTTTTTCTTTTTTTTCGTAATCTAGAACTTTTTTCCGAATAGATCGGAGCCGAGACTGGTGGAACAAACCAAGGTGTCAGTCCGCAAATACAGAAATTACTGACAAGAATCGGACCGATTATGGTTTTTGCATGTAGTACCAAAGTTTCTTCGGTGGGTTTGAGTAATTTTCAAAAAATATGTAATTTTCGAAAAAAAAATATTGAATGTAAAATTTGTAATGTATGAGTTTCTCAATAGAACTTTTATTTTTCTGGATTTCAAATATTTGGTGTGAACTTATCACTAATATGTCTGTTCCTATTCCTCCTCTCGTGTTTAACCGATTCATTGTCGCATTCTGCCGATTGCACATTTATCTTAAAATAAGGTAAATTTGCAATATTTCAATTTTAAAAGAATTTGTAACATTAGAATTTCAGGTTATAGCCTTATACTGGTGTACATCAAATATGATCTCAGTAATGTTTTCTGGAATATTCAAGATTCCATCAGTTCGTGCTTTCCTAAAGATACCTCAGTTACCATCGAAGCAGGTGCAATTGTATAAGAAAGCACTTAATCAAAATATAAATCACGACACTATGCAAAAGTGAATCTTAAGAATATTTATTAGTTACGTAAACAGTTAACTAGATTTTATTGTTACTGATCTATTCTATTTTTAGGCAAAATAAAGAGACATTTACTAGGAAGACAAGAAGTGTCTCTGATGAGTAGAAATCTCTCAGTGGAATACAGAAGGTTGTTTTCATATATTTCATAGATATGTAAAATATTTCTAGTTTTCTTTTTTTTTTTTTTTTCTGATAACGTTTTAAGACCTTATATGCAGTGTTTTAATTTTACTATCTTCTTTCGTTTATGTTTTATCAGTTTGTATAATTCATGTTCGTTTCAGAACTGAGAAGCCAATGGAAGGAGGATAGCATAGTTGGAAGAAGAGATTGTTATATGACTGTATATTTCAAGTGTTGCAAAATATATGGTTGTTAATTCTCCTTGATTTCCAGACTTGTATTTTATGAAGTTGGATTACAAAGAAAAAAAAAACAAATCAAAATTGGTCTTTGAAATAACTTAGAACTTCTTTTTCAGTAATAATGTTTGTAGTTAATTATAGAGTGATTTTTTTGATTTTGATTTTATTTTAATCTTTTATTAAATGAATATTATCACATAGTGATGAAATTCAATTTTAAATATTTTCTTACATTTTTTCCAAAGAATTTATCCTATTAATTTCGATATATGAATGAGTTAGTCTGGATTTCAAGATGGCAGTACTTTATTATATGTGTGTCTAATTTTGTTGTTTCTGTTTAAATATATATGAAAAAAAATTTTAAACAAAACGTTTTGTTATTGAATCAGTTTAAGGCGTACTTGAAATTTCTGTTTTACAATATATATATTCTTTTTTTCAGATTGATTAATACATTAAACATATTAATTATAATTATGGATTGACGCCTTTTTTTTCTATTTATATCTTTTGCTTAAGCTGATATTCATACATGTTTTTATTTAACTACGCTATTATACGAAACGTGTAGCACGAAGATTACGTGACTGTTAATGATTATAACTTGGCGCAAGTATAATTTGTAACGATGTATCAAGCGAACGATTTATTAATGAATATAATTTTTAGATTTCAATTCGCATGGTGTGAAATTTCAATAATCTCTTTTGTCTGAATTATTACTGGGATGGCGGTAGCACTTTCCCTTAGTGGTTCTCGTCTTACAGTTCAACGCTTTTATGTTGCAATTAGTTCTGCTGCTGCATCAACGGTTCGCCGTTCTAATTTTCAGTCACAGAATTGCGTAGTTGGTGTTCGCCATGCATCCACGGCGAAGGATATCTTTGTCGTATCAAATGATTCTCTAACGGTGTGTTAAAGTTAATTGAAATCTGTTTTTATTTCTAGCATAAAAGAATTCCAATTTTGATATAATCCATTATTAGCTTTAGTTACCCGGAGAATAGGAAGAGTTAGTTATAGTCAACTAATAATTTTTTGCTTCACTGAAACGGATAAATATATCGTTAAAAAATACAGTAGAATAATTAGAACAAAATTTGCTCAGAAACTCATAATAAATTAACTTTTGAGATGAAAATTTTCTTTTGACCAAGTTTAGCTTAGAATTTAGATCTGTTCTATATATATAGCAGAATTTGTTAAAACGAGAAATGCAGATGAGTGCCCGAATCTTAACTTCTTTATGCGGACTCTTGAAATCGAAGCCACATATTGAATTAAGTTAAATTAAATTAAGTTAAAGCTATCGGAAAAGGTTAGGAAAGTTTGCTATTACTTTAAATAAACATTAATACTATGAAGCATTGAATTAATTAAGCTTGTTACAGTCCTGCGAGCATAAAGTCGGTAAGCTGAATTTGAGTCTTATTTCTATTGTCAACTCATTTAAATTTTTCGCATCTGTAATACTACCAATATTTGAAGATTTTTTTTAGGGTATACCGGATATCCCGGTAATAAATATGCCTCCGGAAGCAGTAGCCAGCTCAGGCTTTTCTTTTTATGAGAAATGGCTTCTAAAGGTCGATATTTTGGATTTATTCGGTCTGAGTGGTATATCAGCTGTAGAAAGTACTGGGCTTTTTTCTTGGTATTCACCTGCTTCCTGGTATCGAATTGCTTTGGAATTTATCCACAATCATTTTGATCTTCCCTGGTTTGCTTCTATCATATGTAGTAAGCTCTTAAAACTAATCAAGTTGTTCTAAACAAAAAATATTGATGATTTAATAGTTTAAATCTGAATAGTTTAAAAATGTTTTTCGTATATTTTTAGTTCAGCAGTTCAAGATTTGATAATATTTTAATTTTTACAATGTGTTTTTTCTTTCTTCTTTTATCGTTTACCTTTCATTTTTTATTTTCATTTATTCATGGTTTTCAGCCACATTATGTTTACGGCTAGCATTTCTGCGTGCAACCTTATTCTTACAAAGATTTGCACCAATGAAAATGATGCATGATGATACGTTGAAAATGTTTGATGATAAGAAGAAAGAAGCTCGAGAAGTAATTCGAAGTGAAGCTTTATGTTAGTTTTTTTTTTCTTTTTTTTACTTCAGATGATTCCATTACCTTTGGATGCGGTGGAAATACTGCAAATTTGTCCAAGCAACTATATTAGAGACGATATATGATGACTGTGTCATCTTCATCAAAAAAAAAATTTCAGAAATAGTTGATATATCAAAAACGTTTATTTATTTTCTTAAGTAATGTATGTAAAATACAGAATAAAAATATTGTTTGCAATTTCTAAAAATACGATTTGAAAAAAAAAATTCCAATTCTTGATATTTTGTTGTAGTTTCTTAGTTATTTCATAATTTGAATTCATTCTGCTTCTCATTTCATCTGAATAATATCATTTTAGATCGGAAGATTTCGCATGACGAAAATATTTATGTAGACACTTATAATTTAAGATCCTCCAACAGATATTATTATTTTGCGCTCAATTCAGTTTTATTCATTTCCCAGTACCGAGGAATTATACTTATGGCAGAGAACAAGTAAGTCTTTTATGTTCTGCTTTCCATTTGAACAATGTCCCGATCTCGAATAACGGTAAAATCTCATTTTTTCTTTTCTTTTTTTGGCTAAAGAAGTGAAATGAGATATCACATATCATTTGATTAAAAAAATTTTAATTGGGTTAGGTTTTTTTCGATAAATTTTCGACCAGAATTGAAAAATTAAATGCAATATCTAAAAAACTGGTTTGATTTTATTCTTATGGAAAAATGAAATATTACAGTTTTCCTGGTTGGGACACAGGCGGTGCTCTATGGTTTCTAGATTTAACAACGACAGATCCTAATTTCTTGGTGCCCGCACTCTCATCTGTTCTCATTGGATGCACACTTTTTGTAAGTTAACTTTTCTAGGCAATCAGTTTACATTTTTTAAATAATATTATAAAATGAAGAAATCATGAATACCGTTTTGCAGCTTGGATATGATCCAACCGGTACCGCATCTGCTAACAAATACGTTAAAGCGTTCAAATATGTTGCAGTACCACTTGGTGTATTCTTTTTTAGCTCAAGAGTTCCTGTTGTAAGTCTTTTTCTCACTTTTTCAAAATGCTTCATGAAATTTTCCTGATATTTCTTATATCAAAAATTTTTTCCATGTAAAAATTGAAGATGAAAATTTATCTGAGATACTAAAATAATAATAGCCTCACCTTTGGTAAATCCAATAAAATATTCTTCCGCAATTAAATGCTTTATTCATATAGCTTAAATTATATATATTAAAAGTTTAAAATAAAATTTGATACTAATCTGATTTATTGTGAATTTTTTAGGCTGTTTCAATATACTGGTGTGCTTCAAACTTTTTCAATCTTTTGTTAACAACAACTCTACGCATGCCTAAAATCCGTTATGCTCTCGACATTCCATTGAAAGTGACAAAATCAAGTTCCGTGACGTTCCAAAAAGCATGGAAGCGTGCATTCGGTAATCTTTTCTTCGAAATTTTATACGGTTAAACTCATTACCAGTCTAATGTCAGTGGTTTGAATAAACTAAATTAATTATCCTGTTATATATGTATATTAATGTTAGATGAAAAACAGTGGTGAAATTTTAGATTTTGTAGATAAAATCTCCCTGAATTAGAAGTCATGAAAAAAGTAGATATATTTGAACAATTATTCTTATCTTTGTTTGAATAATGTGCTGATCAAACTGTGGGTATTTTGCGCCTCGTTTCTTCAGGTTGGAAGAAAGAAACTGAAAAACAAGCTCGATCACGACCTGTAATGTGGGAAATAATGCAGAGACAAGATCTAGAAAGATTTGCAAGAGCTGGTAGACCAAGCGCTGCGAAGTGATAGTTAATGAATTGATGGCTTTTTTGCTTTTGCTGTAATTTTGTTGATGGTTTTTTGAAATTGTCTACAAAAAGTTTTTTGATTTTTGCAGTAAATTAATCAAATTTGAAGCAAATAAATAATTACTTCTGGATAATCTCGATAGTAACCATTTACTGTTCTCAACAAATGTCTATGAAATAGCAGCATTTTATTCTTAAAAGACTTAAATTCCATAAAAATAGCATAATTCATTGCGCTTCAGATAAATTTCCATTGCACTGAAAGGATTTCTTTTTTTTACATGAATTTTGACAATCAATTTGCCAGATTCAATATTGCACTCAGCATACAAAATTTACAACAGATACATACCGGAATATACAGAGAAGATCATTCAAATATTCATTATTAATCGTCCCAACTATGTTTTTTTTTTTCTTTTAAAATTTAATCTTTAATTTACTTAACTGTTCTTGATGATCAAAAATTCCTTCAAATTTTGTTGGCAAATATTTTGAATGAAAAAAGGTGACATAGTTAAATTTGAAATAGTTCCACAACAAATTTATAACAATAGCTAAATAAAATTTTTAACCTGTGATTTTTTTCAGTAAAATAAGGAATAAAAAAATGTTATATGGTTTTTCAGTGTTGAAACAGTTTAGTTTTACTTTATTTTACATAATATATTATCCCTTCAGTTATCCCAATGCAATTAATGGAGATATATAGGTATTGCAAGTAATTTGGATAAATTACATAAGAAAAACAATTGCACATAATGCTGTAGCAAAGAAATTTTTAGCTAAGTAAAGATCATATGAATTAGTTAATATATTGCTATGAGTAGAAAAGAAGAAAGGATATGAGCTAATATAGAGTAAAAGTAAATAAAATTTAATATTTCAACTGAAATTTCTTTTTTCTATTTAGATTGTCAGTGTTAATTTTGCTATATGAAGAAGTTTAGTTCTTTTCATGTATGTAAAATGTATTGCAATTAATTACAAAATGATCTAAATAGTTACAAAGTAATAAAGGTTTATTTAAAATTTTTTACATCCCTTAGTTTTACTTATTTTATCTTAACTAAATCTTTTATTAATTCCATTTTTAACTAATGTTTAAAAAATGTAAATTTTTTATTAATAATACAAATTGTCATTTTTTTTTTTTGAAAAAAAATTTCATAAATTTTATGAAATAATTACACATAAGTATTGATAAATAAGAAAATTATATGAAAAATAATTCCATAAAGCTATTAAAATGTTATATTAATTTTATGAAAAAATTTTAATAATTAAATATCTATTTGTATTAATAAGAAAAAAAGAAAATTAGATCAATATATGAAGAATGACTATAAAAGGAAGGGTAATAATGATTACGATTATAGTATTGCTATTATCATTGGTATTATTATTAATCCTATCTGAAGTTATGATGAACTAATGATAACTTTTAATTTTGGTATTGTCGTTATTGTTATTATTATTATTATTGTTGTTGTTGTTGTTGTTGCTTTACTACTGTTACCTTTGAACAGTGTATTGCTAATTTAATTGCTCCATACTGTTGTGGTCGTCGAGAATAACGACAATACCCGTAAACACTAATCGCCAGTAACGCTGTTAATGCTGATAAACCCGTCCAAATAGTTAACCATAAGCGAGATAAGCAATATTGCTTCGACGCTGCAAAATTGTATGTTTGAAACATTTATAAGCTTTTAATGAATGGTAATTAACTTAAAAAATATCAAAAAATTTCACTAATTTTTTTTTGTTCTGTAAACTGTTTTTTATTAAACTTTAAATTTAATAATTTTTAAAACAAACAATTATCCTTTAGCATATTTATATGCCTTTCGTGATCTATTCGATAATTCTTCGAATTACAATATTCATCTTTCTTATCACCGAAACAAATATCAGCATAAACATGTTGCTGAGATGATTTGTGTTCTCGTCGTTTCCTGATCACTTTTACTTCTTGATCGGATAACAGGGCATTTGTAGCTGATGTTATCAAATCCGGACAAAACGGTGGCTGTAATAGATAAAATAAGAATGCATAATTTCTTCATAATTCAATTTTAGAAACTGCAAATAATTAACATTATTAAAATATTATACTAATATTTGTAGTAATCACATTTACTACATTATCATAAATATTTGTAACAATATTATAATATTATTAATATACAATGATATTATACTTTTCGATAATATACTAATAAATTATTATGATAGTTTTATTTTCATAAAAATTAAAATATACCAAGAAAAAAGCAAACAAACATAAACGAACTAACAAAATTTTGATAAAAAAAAAAAGAAAACTTACAGATGGTATACTATCACAACTTGTTAAACCGGATATAGTATCCGGAATATCAGTGCATATTTCGATTGAGCATTTGATATTTAACTGATTAATATCTGGTACCTTAAATGCATGCCAATGAACTTGTGCTGTATCATGATATGTATCATAGTGTGGATGACTGAAGATATTGATATCTGTTGAACAACTGAAAATTATCACTGCTATATTTCTTGTTTAAAAATTTTGTTTGTTTAAAATTTCACATTATTGTTATTGTTATAAAAAATAATAATAATAATAACACTATTATACTTTTTGTATTATTTATTTAAAAATTTTTCTAAATTCAAATTTCATATTCTTTATTTAAAAAAAAAAAGAAAAAATGAGAAAAGAAATAGCTAAATTTCATTTATACTATTAAAAGCAAAGAGTGACAATTGTATTAACAAAAAAATTATCTAACATTATCATTCATTTCAACTTTTTTTGTTATTGTTTTTTCTGTTCATTGTTGTTTTTTTTTTTTTTTTTTTGTTTTGTTTTGTTTTTACCATTTCTCAGTAAATACGAAATTTACTTTTGATTTTTCGAAAAAAAAGCTTGACTATGCAAATATACCCTCGTTCATCGATCACCATATATTCGTCATTACTAACCGTATCCCGAACTGTGCAATTCCGTACATGAAAACCGTAAGCATCTGAAAGTTTTCTTTTTCTTCTTCCCTTTCTTTTTTTTTAATTTAAAATTAAATTTACATTAGAATTTTAAGAATGCAAAAAAATATTGTATTAGAATTGTTTGATTAGATATATCTTTAAAATATTTTTGATATATATGTATATCAGTTTCATTTACTTCAATAAAAATAAGTCATTATTTATATGTATAGAATAGAAAAGAAGAATAATGCAATAATGCTAACAAGAAATATTAGTAAATGAAAACAAAACAAAAGCTTTTTTTGTTTTTTAAATATATTTATAATTAATTCTTTGAAGCATTTTAGGTAATTGAATGAGATGCAATTGATTTATTATATAAAAAAGTTTCTATAAAAAATAAAAAGGTTAAAAATGTAAAATTTTATTTTTTCCAAATGTGCAATGTGCTATTTCTAATCAACCATTAAAATATAAGTCATTAGCAAATCGTTAGCATAAGAAATCATATATCTTACAAAAATTTTTTTTTTCTGAACATAGAATTCCGAGAAGAAAGAGAGAAGAACGTAGTAGAATTGTACAAAACTTTAAAATTACGAATTCTGATAATTCAGGAAATTAATGATAACTTTTGAAAAATATGTAATACGTGAAAATAGAAATATGATTAATCTTATAGAATGTTCCGAAACTAAATTATCCATCAATTAATTCAATGGTACAAAAAAGAAAAAAGAAAACGAATTATTAAAATGCTAGAAAATTCTGGAATTATGTAAGAGTATAATTTTATAAACCTGATTCGGGTAGTAAACTCCATTCGATCCTCATCGGTTGACCAAGGTTGACAACGTCTACTTCAGTGCCATCATCACCGTGTCCGTGTTCTTCTTCGGTGACAATTCGCATCATGCATTCCGGAATTTGCGCTTTATGCTCCAATTTCATTGGTATTAAGCGTAATCTGAATTTAAAAAAGTGTCATTTGTTTTGAATTTCTGTGACAAATCAATAATAGTCAATAAATAAATGCATGGAAAATAAAAAATCATTTGATAACTTCCTTTTTTTTTTTCAAGCAAATATCACTTTATTGCCAAATTTTCAACTTTTCAAAAAAAAAAAAAAAAATCAAGACATAGAGTATTATTAATTATCAAACTGTAAGCATAAAATTTCATCGAATAAAATTTATTATAAAAGAAATATTTAAATAATTGTAATTTGATTATATACTCTTCCAATGCTTCTTCAATATGTTTCGGTATTATTTGCTTCTGATATTGTACTTTTTGATGAACACATTGGGTTAGAAATGATTGCATTGTGCTTGTATTGTCTTTTTGTTGAAAAATAACAATAATTTGCATATGATATTGAGTTTCTGGTCGTTGTTCTCCTAAAAATTATTTTCAATTAAATGAAATTTTTCAAATATTAAATGAAGTAATTCTGATAACAGATAATATATGAAGTGATAATGAGTTAATTGTAATATGGCAAAATTAAAATCCCATTGTATTTCTTAAAATTTTCCAATTTAACAGTATCGTAATAGTCTAGTTAATGATTACTGATAACAGTTAACACTAACAAATTGTAAATTATCAAAAAATATTAGAATATTTTTGGTTGAAAAATTTTGAGAAAGTTTTTTAAATATTTAATTATTAATGAAATGCAGTTTATTTTATAGAGAGCACACTAAAAATTACCGCTATTTCGCATACCGCATGTAGAATATGGCATTGTCACTCTAATCAAATTTGCTTCATTAAACGTAAAATAGCATCTGAAAAAAAAAAAAAAAAAAAAAAAAAAAAAGGAAAAATAAAATTAAAATTTTTGAATATGTAAAATGACAAAATCAAATTTTATTAGCAATTAATTGAATTTAGTGTAGGATGTTGTTGTTAAATTGTTAATTATTTGAATTAAATAATAATTAAACATCCAATCCATTATGTATTTTTGGGATTAAATTTAATTTTATAATTTATGAAATAATAAAGTAAAGGAAATGAACAAACTCAGCAGCAGGTTTTCGATTATGAGCAAAAATTTGCCCGGTAAATGGAAATAATGTGGTAATTTCGAACTGTAAACCATCCTCTTTACAGATTAGACGAGCTTTACCTAAAAATTGAAATACTTGAAAATATTTTTTTTCAAAAATAACCCAAAAGTGAAGAATTGAAAAAAAAATTGATTTTTATAAAATTTCATTTTGAAATTTTCTAACATACCAATTTGAAAAGTATGGAAAAACCGGTAAGAAATAATACGTATTTTTTTAACTAATGAAATAATAATGCATTAAAAATTTCAATGTATAAATATAAATTAGTTTAAGTTTTTTTTTTTTTTCAAATTTTAATAAAATTAAACTGACCACGTAAACGATTAAGAACAATTCCAGTAGATACTGTGGTACTATGTAAGGGTACTGAAGTTGTTTCGATTACATTGTGTATATTGAATGATGATAGTGATGATGATAATGATGGTGATAATGATGATAATGATGGATAAGACAGTCTTGAAATATATTTTCAAAATAAATATTTCAAGCTGCTGATAAAAAATAAATAATTTGAATTTTATAAATGGTTTTTTCCTTGAAAAAAAAAAAAAAAAAAGAAGCAAATGGTAATAAACAAATTAATTTAAAAAAAAGTAATAATAGCATTAAAATGATATGAAATGAAGACTTACGTTGATATTTGTAATGGTTGAGAAATTATGGTACTATTTTTATTGATAATTTCCATTTCATCCATTTTATGTTTCATTTCTATTTCTGATTCTGTCTCAGTCTTAGGAATAATTGTTGTTTGATGTAACGATAGCGTAGTATTGTTTACTGCAGCTAATAATGGTTTAATAGTAAATTTAATGCTTGATGAATGATCATCGACTAATTCCAAATCTGTTGTTGTCAATGTTGTTGTTGTTGTTGTGTCATATTTTTCAGCAGTATTTTCAATCGTTGTACTTCGTCCTTCTTCCAATAATATTTCATTAATTGAAATTGTTGAAATTGCATTTACCGGAAATGTTTGCTGATTTTCATGTGGTATTTGCATGAGACAAGGAGAGGTGACAGGTGTGACAGTACTAGTAGCAGTTGTATCAGTTATTATAGGTTCAGATGTAGTAGCAAATGTGTATTCTATATTTGCTGCATAATTTGTTTCATCGTTTTCCACACTTACAGTTGTCACTGAAATAAATTGTAAAAATTTATTAATTCCTCTCTCCAACCTAACAGTTGATAATTTGACAAAAGAAAGGAAAACAAAAAATTCAAATTTAATTGATTGAGAGAATTGTGTAGAGTTTAAAATAAAATGGAACAGATTTCTATATCAAATAATGCTGAATAATAAAGTATTACAGAAATTAAATTTCTATTAACTCTATTAATTTACATAAATTTTGCATTCCTTTTATTATTTGTGTTAAATTTAAACTTAAATTTGAAGTTTAAATATGAGAAGATATCATCTAATCTCTGAATTTAATAGATGAAAATTTCAATATCAAATCTTTTACATTCAAAAACTCACTGATATTAGCACAATCAGTTGAAACTCTCGAATTTTGTTCTGTGCTATCAAAATTAATATCAGCAATTTGCTTTTGTTCATCAGAATAATCAATAATAGGCATTGCTGCCGGAGGTGCTGGGCCGAGATTTTTACCTGAAAGTATATTTATAATTTAGCGATAATTTATGCAATATTCATTTAAAATAGATAGAGTGAAAGAGAGAGAGAGAGAGGGGGGAGGGGGAGAGAGAAAAAGGATAAGTGGATGAAATAAATTATAAATTTTTAGGATCACAAAAAAAGATAATAAATTTAGATTTAAATATGAACTTGAATTACTCAAGAAAAATTCATTATATAATATTGTAAAGTTTTTTTTAAAAAAAGGTGACAATAATTTTCTCTCATTCCGTTTACCGGTATAATATAAATAATAATTTTCTGTTATTCCGGATAAGTGACAAAGAAATTAATCAATCAAATTTGTTCTTTTTCACATACTTGTAATTATTTACTTACTTTATTATTATTTACTTACTTACTGAAATTATTTACTTACTTACTGAAAATAATTTGAATATGATTTATTGTTAAAATTTTTTATGCTATCAAACTAAAATAAAAGCATTACCATCTGCTAATTGTGTTTCATAATTAGTTGTAGTAAGTTGTACTGATGGATAAGTATTGATATCAGTATTTCTGGAATTGAATGAATCCTCGGATGTGGCAGCATCTTGTGTTACACTCTAAAATAGCAAAAAAAAAAGAGAGAGAGAGAGAGGGAGAGAAAAGAAAGAGAAAAAAAATTATGAAAATTTTACATATTAAATAATTCAAATGAAGAAAAAAGAGTTAAATTTATATTAAAAAAAAAAAAAAAAAACTGAAAAATTACTTTAATTTTATCTCAAAAATTGAATAATTTCTTCATATTTCATATTTAAATTTATCCTAATTAAAAATTTTGTTTCTTTTTTTTTTTGTTTAAGCAAAGAAATATAAACTGTAAAAATTTTGAACTGTTTTAATAACAAATTTATTCCATTTTTTTTTCAATCTATCACATATTATCATTAACTTAAAATTTTCATAAACTTCAAAAAATGTTGATTTTTTAAAAAAATTTTAGCAATTTTTTCGACATTTTTAACAATTTTTACCTATCATATTATTTTCATAAATTTACGAAAAAAACTTCAAAACTTTTAAAATCATTTAAACATTTAGAAAAAAATGAAATCACTCCTCTTTTGTTTTTGATTCTATCATATTTAATTACAAGAAAAAATTTTTTTTCGTTAAAAATGAAAATACAAACAAAAAAAAAATTATTGATAAAATCAATTATAAAAAATTCACGGAAAATGTTTATTTTATTTTATTATTTTTTCACTATAAAAAAAAAAGAAAAACAAAACTGAAACAAAATATAATAAAACCGGAATTATTTCTATAAAATGCATAGAACATTTAGATTATAGGCCTGTGCATTAGTTATCTATTTTGTTCACTTAGGTATGTGACAAATGCGCACATCATCCAATTAATATTGCCGTGAAACAGGTATATTAACTTAGAAATGTCATCGAAGAGACGGATTTAACGATAAAATGAAATTTACATTTTATTTGAATAATGAAAAAGAGAGAAAAAAAAGGAAAAATAGTTAATCGTTTTTTTTTTTTTTTTTTCACTGATTTTTTCCTATTTTTTTTTTCTTTGATAAGAAAAAAAGAGAAAATTTTTTTAATCTATCAAAAGATCAAGAATGTAATTAATAATTATGTGCTGAAAAAAAAAATTAGTAAAATAGAAGAATTATTGGATGGAAATAAAAAAAAAATTAGTATAAATTAAGTAAGTTTATAAAAGTAATACAATCTAATTTTAACACAGAAAAATAAGGCAAAAATTATTGGTAAATATAAATATTAGGTGAATTAATCATTAATGCTTATCTTTTCGTATTTCATTTTATTCTTTCTTTTTTCTTCAATTAAAATTTTGTTATAGTAAAATGTTTGAACAATTTCATCAATTTCTAAGCAAATGATATTTTTTTAGTTTTGCTTTTCAAATTTTTAGATTAGTTTATTGAAGCAATATTTTTTTAATTTATTTTCTTTCTTTTTCATAATAGCAAGTAGTATGAGTTCCTTTTTTATTTTTATTTTTTGTATTTATGATATTTTTACATTATTTAATACATTTTTGAAGCAATTGCTATTAAATTAGCAGCTATTATATAAATAATAAAAATAACATTTTTAAATTTTCTCACCGTTAATTTTTTCTTCTTATTCTTTCATTGCAAAATTAAAATTTGCATGTAATTAAAAACAACCTAATGATTGGACATTTAGACATGAAGAGATATTTTAACAGGTCGAAACAAACCAAAATTTGGATGAAATCCGGTTCTATTAAATGAGCAACAGCTACCCTTTCCCGTCTCCTTCCCATGAGATGCCCTGATACTCGGGCATTTCCCTCTCTCCCCCACAGAATACTTAATCACATCATTGTTGATGGCCAGTTCACTTCTTTCTTCTTTCTTTCCAATCATCTCTTTCATCTCCTTTAGTCATCGTTGTCACTGTTATCGTCATTGTCATCGTCATCGTCGTTCTCATCGTTTGTCATCGTTGTCTACATGATTTCAGTTCAAAAAGAAATTTTACTCGAACCAAATGATATGACAACAGTTAGGCAGTAGGAGTGACAACAACAGCGAAATGCTCCACTTTCAATTGTATGCAAAATAAACATCAGATTGACCGACTGAGCCAGTCTTCTCCGCTTAATTTGTCTCTCAAATTTATTTTGTGATTAGATTATAGCTATGGTTGTAATGGAATCACCCTTATAGTGATGCTTAGTGTAATTTATGTAATTGATGTGCACTACTACAGGTAACAAAGGACCTTGGTAACACAGTAAGGTTTGAAACCAAGCTGAAACAAGCAAGATGATAATATTATACTTAAGATAAAACTAATAATTATGAAAATTCAAACAAAGTATGATAATATCAGAATTAAGATGAAAATAATGATTATGAAGATTCAAGCAAAGATGATAACAACAAAAAAAAAAAAAATTAAAAATTAAGATGAAACTAGTGATTATGAAAATTTGAACAAAGATGACAACATGAAAGTGACTATGAACATTAAATTGTAATATTAGATTAGTAATTAAAGTAAAATAAAGTTGAAATCAAGCAGCTAAAGCAATGATTTCAATGCTTGAAGCACATCAAGAAGACGTTATCACTGGTGATAATTACCAAATGATTGATTAATTTCTTTTTTCGTAATTATCAATAATCATTTTCTTAATTAATGAGGAAGTGATTAATAATTAATGAAATGAAATTTAAATGACGTGTTCATGAAATGTTTTAAAATTTTTATTAAGAAGAAAATTTTTTCCCACTTTAATCTCTGAAAAATTCTGAGAAAAGTTTTTTTCCCAATAAAGGAAATCATTATATTTTCTAGCAATAAATTTCCGAAATGAACTTATAACTGTTAAATACGTTTTGTGACAAAAACAAAGTAATTGCTATAAATCTATTATAACTATTATTTTTTTTTTTTGCTTTTATCACCATTATTATTATTATTATTATTGTCATTATTATTGTTATTATTATTATTGTCATTATTATTGTTATTATTATTATTATTATTATTATTATTATTATTACTACGTAGATATTATTTTTATTGTCGTAATTTCCTCATTCTTATTATCTGTTTTCTAAAAAAATACTTTTTGATTAGAAAATGTTGAATTTTCATCATTTTTTGATTTTCAAAAAAATAGAGAAAAATTAATATTTTTATAGCATAATGGAAATGCTTATTGAATGAATAATTATTCATTCAACAAAACAAAAAAAAAAGAGTTTTTTTCCCTAAAAATTTTCTTCTCCATTAGTTTTTCTAAAAATAGAATTAAAATGTAAAAATGAAACCTCAAATTATTTGAATTTAAAAATTTATTACAGTAATTATTATAATACTACAAAAGCTATTATTATTGTTGCCAAATTGTCATAATAATTACTAATGTCCATTAATGGAATGGAAATGAATACAAAACGTTTGAAAAAAAAGAAAAAAAAAAACGATACACACATTAATTATATTCGTTATTACCTTTCTACGTCAATAATTAAAATTCATTTTTGATTATTGTTAAAATTACTAATTATTAATTGATTGAGATATCTAAATAATATTTAACTTATTTTTTTCCTGAGGCAAATATAATATTAAACTGAAATAAATCATGCATATATTTATATATTATTTTAATATTCATTATTTATTAATATTTTAATATCCATTATATTCATTTAATATTAATATTCAGTGTTAATTTTTCTTTTTTTTTTTTTTGCATTCTACTAGAATTGCTTTTTAATTATGATAATTGCAAGTGCGAAATTATTATGTTAGAGAATGATATTTAATCATTTATGCAAAATTATTATGTTCGAGAATGATATTTAATCATTTATCTTTTCTCCTTATTATCATGATAAAAATTAGATAAAAAATGAAAGTAATTTGTAATTAAAATTTGATAATTCTAAAAAATTATCGATTTAATTTTTGCAATTATTAATCAACTTTATGAGGTGACAAATACTATTTTATCGAAGACCGATCACAAATGGTCACTACTACTATCTCGTAGATGACCAATCATAAAATGGTCATTGCTTCTTTTTTTGTCAACTATAAATATCACTTTGATAAATTGAACCCTTTACAATATTCTCATCAAAAATTAAAGAATGACTTAATTTTCTTTTTTCCCTTATAATTATCATAACATCGACTATATTATGTATTCAAATGCGTCTTTTTCCTGTAAAAAACAAATTCAAAAATTCAAATTTTACAATTCAATTAGATAAATTTTATTATTTTTAATTTTTCATATATGAGAAAATTGTCGAAAAAAAAAAGAACAATGAATGACAGTGAATATCTTTCATTTATTTAAATATTTCAGAATAAAAAAAAAAAAAAATTAAAAAATTTGCCTTTTTTTTTCTCTCTTTTTTTAAAAACAAAAAAAAAGAACAGAGAGATGAAGAAAAAAAGTGAAAAGGAAGATATGATAGAATGGGTTAATGATCAGATAATGCAAGAAATGGAAATTAAATCGATCACATCTGGTTTTTGTATGATAAAAACAATTAAATAAAATGTTTTGTTCGGCATTTAAAAGGATGTACAATCATTAATGATTTTTTTTTTTTGAATTTTTTTTTGAATTTTTTTTCCCTTTCGTCTTTATCATTAAGAAAAAAGTTAAAACAGAATTTTAATATAAAAGAAAAAAGAAAATTTAAAAATAGTTTGAAAAAAGCTAATAAATTAAAAAAAAGATTTTTAATATTAGATTAATGTTTACAATGTTCAAAACAAATTACTGCTAATTTATGTATGTATATATTAAGTTTTTACAGAAATTTTTTTTTTTTTTTTTTAATAAAATTTGGAGGAATTTTTTTGATTACTAAAGTAAATGAAATATTCAAAAAAATTTTAAATGAGATTTTGTTTTTTTTTTTCGAATATTTAAAACAATAAATGATGTTAAAAAGTTATAATTCAATGACATAAATTAAATAATGAAGTTTCTATTATTTTTTTGATATGGCAAATCTTAGAGAGCAAAATTTATTCCCACAAATTATTTTTTCCCTTTTCTTTTTATTTATTTATTATTTTATTGTCATTGCTTTTATTTCTTTCTGCTATTGATTTTGCTAGTGCAGTAGTAGATGTTATCATTTTATCATTGAAATAGATTAAAATGAAAATATAAAAAAATAAATGAAAATTATTATTAATGAAAATTAATTATTATTATTAATGTTGAAATTACTTATCATTCCATTAATTTTACAGAAAATCTTTTAGGAAATATGCAAAAAGATTTTTATATAAGCTAATAATTGTCTTAAATTTGAGAAAGAAAAGAAAAGAATTGAATGAAAGGAAAAAATATTGAAAGTAAAAAAAAAAACAAAAAACATTAATTAATCAAATAATTCAATTACGTAGGAAAAAATCAACTAAACAATAAAAGGTAATTGTTTTTTAATTAATAAACTTAACAAAAAATTAAATGAACGAATTTCCTTTTGTTTATCAATTTTAATTGATGCATTAAACATAAATGTATTTATAATCAGTGAATGAAAGAGATAAAAAGATAATTATGTGAGATTTTTATTTTAATGAATTACTGAACATTAATTACTTCTCGAAATGTAAACGCCAAAATATTCCAATTAAACATAATTCAAATATATTTTCTCGAAGAATTTCACACATTATTGTTTTTTTTTTTTTTTTGATGTCTTAAATTTCATTCAAATATTCATTTGAAACAAATTTACTTATTTCTTCATTTATTTGTTTGTTTGATTGTTTCTTTTCTCTCTTTTTTTCTTTTTTCTTTTCTTTTCCTTAATTTTTCATTAAAATTCTCATAAAATAACAATGATGAAAATTCCCTCCAAATGTAATGAAAATATCTACATGTATCATTATTTTCATTTAAATGACTATTTTACAAAAAAAAAAAAGAAAAGTGGAAGAGAGGAAGAGAGAGGGAGAGAATAAAGAAAAAATAAATAAATCCAAATTTCACATTTTTAACGTTATCATTTCGTTTCAATCTTTGCATCGAAATAATTTGCTCCATATTTTCAGACATAAAATTTGGATAATATTACTAAATCTTATGCTTAAGACAAATAGTTTAAAAGAGAAACTATGAAGCATATTTGCTTTTTTTTTTTTTTTTTTTTTTAACAGAAACAATAACAACGATGACAACAACAATAATAACAGCTACAATAACAACAATAAATAATGATAATAATAAAGCACTACAGCTGCATATATCATCGTTCATGCTAATTGTTTCACCGAATAAATATAAATTGAAATTAATATGCCATTCTTTGAGTTAATTAATTGCTGATTAGAGCTGTTTAAACTTATTAAAGATTTAATTATTCGGTAACCAATAATCAATTAATTCTGTGAAAATCGACGAAGAGAGAGAAATATGTGAGATTTTTTTTTCTAATTTATAAATAATTACATATGATTAGATTTAAATTTATAATTTCTTTAATCATTACATTAAACAATTAATTTGATTTTTATAATTTTCGTTTCTTTTTTCTCTGTTTAATGAAAAAGCTTTTATTTTTAACTTTTTTAAATTTTAATCAGCTAAGAAAAAGACAATGACATTATTCACACATCATTTAAATAATCTGATGAAAATTGCAAAATTTATTTTCAATTTCATCGTTTTCAATCTAACAAATTTTATTCGATATTTCGATTACGGATATCATTCGATGTATGACACAAAATTGGCAAATTTCGTCCAAGCGAAATTTATGACAAATCGGACGAACATAAATTATAAGGCGAGGAAATGTTTAATGTTCACTTAGTATTACTGTCTCTTTGCTAATTTAAATTCCTACTAGAATTTTGCAAAAAAAGAAAAAAAAAGTTGAATATGAACTTCGAAAATAAATTAAAATGCTACGAAATTTAAAGAAAAAATTAGCATAAATCAAAAGAAGAATAACATTTTGAATTTTTACAAACAAAATTGATGATACTTAACAGATGATGCTTTCAAATAAACAGCAACCAAGTAATGATAAACACTACCAGGTGTTTTTATAAACATTATTTTATTTTCTTTTTTACTGTAATTTAGTCATCCTCTATATTTTAATTTATTAAAATAAAAAAATGCAAATAATAAAGGAATATATTATAAAATTATGCATAATTGTCATCGTTTTCCTTTTACCGTTTGTCAAACAAAAAAAAAAAAAAAAATAGAAGTGAGAGTTAATGTGTAAAAAGAAAACAAACATATAAGTAATTAAAATTAAAACTTACCGACTGCAAATCATATTGTGAACCATAATGTAATGATGATGATGATAATAATGTAGGATGATTGATAATTTGAGCAGAATAAGTAGAATGAATAGAAGGAATAGATGGTAAGGTAGTTACTGATTCATAAATCCCCAATTTTGGATTGAATGGTATCAATGGTACTGAGTGAAAATCATTATAGATACCGCGATTTCCAGGTGCTGATAATAAATAATACTTGTTTTTGGCATATAAATTATTAGATGAAATATGATTTGGAATGATATTTTCATATATACGATGAGTTTGCAATGTTGTATCAAGCGGTTGTATGAAATCAGTCAATTCGGCACCACCGGCAAATGGTGGTATTGGTCCAACTTCGGTTAATTTTACACCAGTATATTCACCATGATTTCTTGAGTTCATTTGTGAAATATGATAGGAAGGATCTGATGAAGGAGGTAATAAGACTGGCTTTTGAAATTGCTGAACATCCGATTCTAGTACCTTAATCCCGGTATGCAATTTAGAAAGTTTTAATGTAGTACCCTGTTGAGGATTACGATCTCTTCGGCTATTAATATTTGAAGGATTATTGCTTAGCAGAAGTAATGGTGGCAATTGTCCATCACTGGTGCTATTATCTTGTGGTATATATAATGATATCGCATCATTATTTTTTAAACAATCGCTATCGTTGCAATCCTGTCGATTTTTTAACCTTGGAAAATTTGATGGAATTAATTTTGAAATTGAAGGTGAATTAGCTAATTCTATATTCTGTGTTTGTTGAAGTAATTTTGATTGTTGTTGCAATAGCTGTTGTTGTTGTTGTTCATCTTCAACAATAGTAGTACTAATAGTACTAGTAGTAGTAGTAGTAGTAATTGTTTGGCTCAAGAATCGATCATCATTATTTTGAATGCTTTGATCAATCGATAATATATCATTCTCTACAAATCTTTGTTTACTTCTTATATCATCATCATTTTGAACAATATTTACATCCAATTTTCTACCTTGTCTTAAAGCATGTAATCGTTGAATAAAATAATCACTAGCATTTCGTCGTATTCGTATTCCAGCTGAAATATCTTCTGAACCATAGCGGTCTGAGGATATTACCGTAGAAGATGATGATGATGATGATGATGATGACGATGATGGGAATGAATTAAGGGATTGTATAGCTTCCACCTGAGTACCATTGTTGATAGTTATTAAAATAATCAGTATAGCAGAAATAATTTCCATTGGGAATAATGGATGATGAAGCAAGGAACAGCAACGGTTGCCGAACATAGCACATATTCCCCGTGATACCACCGTCTTCCACGATCGCATAAACGGAACACCAGCAAAAAGATGGTTCGTTAAATTGTATGTTTGCTGTTGTCTCGTTCAGATATGTTTATCTTTTTTCCTTTTTTGTTTTTTTTTTTTTTTTTCTTTCTTTTTTTGCTTTTTTTTAAATGAAATTATTAACACTCTCTAAACAGCAATAAAAAGTGCGTTTGTAAAAATAATTCAAACGATAGCACTAATAAGAATATGAAATAAAGCAAACATTTTAATTAATAAAGGTAAAAATGAAAAGGAATATATAAGCCAAGAAAAATGCTTCGTTGGAATCTTTTCTTTTTTTGAGTCGTAATTCCAGCCGTAATTCCAGTTGAATATGATTGATTTCAGGAATTGTATGTGAAAAAGAAAAAGACAAAATACTTTATTTTTCCTTTCTTTTTTAAGACAAAACTGAGATTTTGATAATAAATGTGAAACGAAATTATAATCGTTAATAATTGTAAATGATAGTGATAACGATTATATCAGTTATATGAGATCAGTGTAGAAGAAAAAAATTTTATTAAAAAAAATCCTTCAAATAAGATTATTAAGAAGATAATAGTATTCTTTTTTGCCACAGAAAAAAAGAAGAAAAATAGATTACTTTCTTTTTTTTTCTTGTTTAAAATAGAATTAAAATACTGCTAACAATAGATTAAATAATAATGCTATTAATAGTAGCAAAAATTATAGTAAAAATAAAATTGTAGAAAGATTATTTTAAAGGTCAAAATATAGCTTTGGCAGTTGTGATAGTGATGTGAGTAATAGTGATAATGGTGCTGATAATGATAATAATGATGATGATGATGATGATGGTGGTGACAAATAGTGATGCGAATGAATAGATTCTCGAGACGTATGGTAAATGTGGCTGGATGGATAGGTGATCTGGATAGGTGTAGCAAGAGAACAACGATAAAAGGAGTGGCATGCGATTACGACGAAACGAAACGAACAATTTCGTTCGGTATTTCTTAGTGAATTTCGGTTTATCTAATCGACCACCTTATATTTCACCCCTTTTTCTCATATTTATCGCGTCTATTGGCTCCTATTGATGAGCGATAGCGGTAAGACATACGAGCAAAAGAAGTAGAAATTCTGCAAATTTGACAAAATTTGATAATATTTCCTCCTCCTACACTCTTACTAATATCCAACAAATTTGATTATTTAATTTCTTTATGATAACGATGTTGATAATGATAAATAATAATATTAGTATCTGTGATAATAATAGTAATTAATAATATTAATAACAATGTGATGATAAATAACAATATTAATATTAGTGACAATATGATAACAGCAATAAATAATAATATTAATAATAACAATAATAAGCAATATTATCAATACTAGCGGTAATGATATCAATAAATAATGATATTAGTCATAATAATATTATATGATAATAATATTATTCTAGTGATAGTGATAATAATATTATCAATTAATATTACCAGTAATGGTGATAATAATAGTAGTAATAATAGCGATAATAATAACAATAATAATAACGATAATGATAATACTTTTTGATTAACAATTTTAATATCATTTGATAAGTTTCAATTTGCGAGGATTTATAATCTTTGTAAGAATGAGGAAAGAAAGGAAGTGTGGAAAAGATTTTAGAGAAAAGGTTCGGAAAGGATAAGTTTAATGTGTAGTTGTGATTGAGATGTGCTTACAAAGATATCCAGTTGTCCTTTATCCGGATAACCGGTTTCATTTTATCCTATCATTCGATTGCTATCTATTTTAGTATGATAATCTTTTAATCAAATTTCAATTTTCGACATTTAGCGATCATAGCCAAAGAATGAATTAACATTTGATGAAAAGGAACGAAAGTTTGATAAATATTCCTTGTAATGAACTTATTCAATTTGCTAAAGTCATTTTTATTTTATTAATAATATAACTAATAATTAATTAACATTTAACAGTTAACAATTTAAGCATTTCATTTGAATTACATAGTTAATATTATATAATTATATGCGTGTGCAAACAGACTTATCATAGAATTTAATTTCCTTCACTTTTCATCCTATTTAATTTTTTACTTAAATTTTAACTCGTTACTTATTGTTGTAGGAAAAGATGAAATATTTTTTTGTTACCGATAAATCATTTTTTAAAATGACATTTTAATAGCAAATTTTACACTTAAAATGATGTTGAAAAAAGTGATAAACTCAAATAATTACCGGAAAAGTGAAAATTTCACATGAAACTTGATAATTTCCTCGGTGAATTTGTAAAGTGAAATGAAACTTTTGCAATTTTCTCATTTTATTTCTCCAACAGCAAAAAAAAAAAATTGTTTTGCTTGCCAAAGGCAAAATTTTTTCTTTTTTTTTCAGACTTTATCAAATCGATAATAAATTAAATTTTGTTCCTTATGATGTGCGATAATGAATTTTAAAGTGTTAAAATCCCAAAAACTTTTCTTTCTATTACCAAAAAATTAATATTTTGGTATAAATTCCATTTAATAATCAATATTTATAAATTAATTTTATTAAAATGACTTTTGTTTTCTATCTATTTTGCAATCATACAGAAATTTGGAATAAAATAATTACTTAAGCTAAGAATGACTTTTTTTTTTATTAAATTACTATCTACAGATTGTATTAAATGATAACTTCTTTCAAACTCTAAACAATTGAAATGCCAATATTCGTGTTGTTAAAGCGATTTGAATTCATCCAAAATCAAATACTAACATTTCAACCTATTTTGTGCATTTTGATATGTCTGAAATAAATTGAGTGTGTCGTCAGTGTTGTCATGCAATACATGAATAAAGTTTTTAAAGTTTTCTTTTTTCAAAACATTTAACAAACATATCAAACAAAAATTAAATAATTCCTTAAAAAAAAAACAGGAATTATCGATTATTCTAAATTATTTTTTACCCTACTTTTTGCGAGAAAAATTATGATATTTTGGTAATTTAATGAAAATAAAAAATCATATGTTAATAGTATTTGATATGTATGATATAAAATATAAGTATAAATAATGATAAATTTATGAAATATTCAAATTAGATTAACATTAAGCAATGAGATAAGGTGATAATCGAATGATAATAGTTAAGAAAATGATAGCAATTACAATTAAGAATAGAATGACATCAATTTGTTCAACAATAATAGCTGCAAGAAATATATATATTTATGTTAAGAATGAAATATCAATCAAGTTTATTGCTCTAATTATTTGTTTAATTGATAAAAATGAAATCATTCGTAACATTTTAAAATGCTTAACTTTCAAATATTCCTGTTTTTATAACATTTCTACAGCGATTTAACTATTTGTTCCAATTTCTTTTGAAACTATTAAATCTTTACTTAAAAGAAAAAGCTTTTGATTTAAAAAAAAAAAAAAAAAAAAAAGAATATCTTGATTTAATGGCAGAAATATATATTTAAAATATCCATCTATATAATGTCTATTTGATCAATCAAACTAAAATACTTCTTTGCCTGATTCATTCCTTTTTTTTTTTTTTTAAAAAAAATTGTCAAACGATACAAATATCTGTTAAATATTTGAGAATATTCTTTCTGGTGATACAATTTTGGATGAATTTACAAAATTAATTATGCATTGTAATAGTTTTTTCAAGTGAATCTTTCATCTTTTTCTCCAGCAATTTTAGGAAATTAGAGATTGCTATCAGAAGAAGAATGATAAGAAATGAGGAGAAGAAATGAAGAAAACTTCAGGTTTGATAATAATCTTCAATATTGTTTCTAAATTCCAAAATTGTTAGGATAATATTTTTTTTTTTTTTTGCTCTTATATTCTGGCAAAAATATAAATGACAAAATTTAAAATATTACAGTGTAAATTGTGGAAAAAAATATTGTTTAGTTGAAATTAATCTCATGAAAAGATTGCATTAAATTCTGAGAGTAAAAGATTAAAATAAGTAAAATGGAAAAATAATTTTTTTTTCTTTTTTTTAATAAAGATGAGTAATAAGATAAAAAATTATTAATTTAAGTTATGTATTAGGAATAAGAAACAAGATTAGAAGTATAAATGGGTGAGAAATTTGAAGGATACAACAGTTAATGAAAAGTTTAATTGGAAATTGTTTAATAAATGAAAATATTATATTTTTTTTTTTGTGTTGAAGGAATAACTGAAATTATTGGATAATTTTTTTATGCTAATTCAAAAATTGTTCAATGAATCTTGCTGATATTTATATTAAAGTATTTTAAAAATGTGTTGTCAAAATTATATTTTATTTTCTAGCATATATTAAATTATATTTGAATTGCACATTACAGCAATAATTAAATTAGTAATTAATTTGTTTATAAATGATGTAATCGATAATTATATAATAAAGTTAGACAAAATTGGAATTACTGATATATTGGGAGGAGGAAATTTGTTTGAATGTCATTTCATCTGATAGCTTGAAATTCAATTTAAATAAAATCAACTAAATCTTTTATTCTTTCATTACTTATTCCACTTACTTTTACTTCTGCTCCTACTTTAACATGTTTCATCCTTTTTTTTCCCAAATATCTGCTAAATTTCTCTCGAATATTTTTTGTTATCAAACGTTCATGTGATTAGCGTTTCATTAAAAAAGAAAATATTATTTCAAGAGAAATAACAAAAAAAAGTGCATGAAAAACTAAACGAAAAATTTTTAGAGATTATTCAATTAATGCTAATCATATTTCTTATCACTGATTTGGTGATAAGAAGTAATTGATTTAAATTGTTTTTAAGGAATATTTTATTTAAATGTTTTTGACATGTAAGAAATATTTTATTTAAATGTAAATCATTTTTATTAATTGTTGTCTCATTAAAAATTATTATTGTAATTTATATATTATTATACTTCATAACTATGATGCGCCCAAATATTTATAAATTTCTAAAATCTTTTGCAATAATATTTATCATTATTTGATGAACTAAAAAAGATCAAAATGATATCA